AGCGATAGCAGTGAACACAAGCAGAAGCATAAATATAATAATCCTGTCTATCCGACTTATCCGCCTTATCCATATCAACCGTATCCGAATGCGCCCTATGCATATAATCCGCCCGCATATCCGCTCAACTATGGAGCGGGCGCACCTGTACCACCAGCTGGCTACCCAGTCTATCCACCTCCACAACAGCAGCCTCCACCACCGGGCTATGCGCCACTGCCACAGCAGGCGTCGTCTGTTATCAACCACTCGCTCAAGGTGAACAAGGAGTATGAAGAGGATGTTAGAAACAATGCCGATAATAGAATATAAAAAATGTCGAGAAAAAAAATGCAATTAATAAAATAAATTTCGATGAAAAATTTTTCGAAAATTGAAAGCGATGCACGTGGAGGGGGATGAGAGAGAGAGAGAGAGAGAGAGAGAGGGAGAGAGAAATTAAAAACGATAAAGGAAATAGAAGAGAACAACTTAAATAGAGAGTGAAAGCAATAGAGATTAAAATAATTGAGACGAACTGTATAAAGAGAGAGAGAGAGAAAGAGAGAAAACTAGAAGTTGAGCGAATTAATTACTTTTAAAGCACGAGCTTGAGAAAAGTGAAATTTATAAATATACTTTTAAATACGTCGAAAAGCTAGCTCTTATCGCTTTGCGGTATAAGTATATATATATTTTTTTTTATTGGACATAATAAATTTCTATAATCTAATGCACTTCATAAACAATTCTCAGAATATTTATTTCGTAATTATTAGAATTATGAGAACGTTTTATAACAAAGCAAACAAACAGTTTTCTATGAAGGCCACGTATATATGTACACGCATGATTCAACAATTAATAAATATAAATAAATAGTTAGTTGGCATAAAAATGTTCTCAGGAAAAAGAAACTCTATAAAGAGCCTTTACCCCATAATTTAATACTAAATATTTTTGCATTCGAATTAAATATTTTTAATGTATGTTTTGCAAAGTTTAGCCAAACATTTTTAAAATAATTAATTTTATTTTATTTATTTTTTTTTAAATATATTTATTATTATCTATTTATATATATTTATATATAAATATTCAGACAAATCAAAATTTGTTGATTGATTTTTTGTTGCTTCTTTCAAAGTTCTTTAATAAAATACCCGTTAGAGAAATTCATGTTTTATGCAAGTTCCAAGCATTCTTCTGCTCCTTCTTCTTCTACATTTGTTGCTGTATCCAAAGTGTATTAAAAGTGCATTTGATAATCTTTGTTGTGAATAACGGCGCAAAGTTGAAGATGCAAGTGAAAACTTTTCGCCGCTCAACTTGACCTCGTTTGTTGTGCGAATGAGCAGCGCTGGCCGTATTATTATTCTTATTATTATTATTATTTCTTACTATTTTTTATATTTTTTTCTTTCGTGAATCTGCTGCGAAAAGTTGTGAAGCTCAGCGCAGCAACACACACAAAAATGCAGCTACCCCCAAAAAAAACTTTCGCTTTTCTTTTTTGTGTTGTCGACCAAAGTTGAGGCCGGGTGCAACAAGAGCAGCAAAAAGGCCGCCAGCAAGAGAAAATTGCGATACAGCGCAAGTGGAGGAAGTTTGAGGTGGGGCCAGCTGAGTGGGAGAGGGGGAGAGTGGGAGCAGGCATTGCTAGCGGTAGGTGTAGAGGCAGGCCATACTACAACAAGTGCTCTAAACTAGTACACAGGCTCTCTGCCTTCTGCCTGCATCCTGCTGCCCTCTACCTGCATCCTGCTGCCTGCCCGCTGCCTACTTCCAACTCCAACAGTCGCTTTTTCAATCTCTACAGACTGCGCCCAGTTCTTAACATTTAAGCGCATTTGGGCCAAATGTCGAGCAGCAGCCGTTGACTGCGTCGCGACGCTAATTAAAAGTGCAACAAGGCGCAGCCAAAAGGTCGTTCCGGAGTTGAGGACAGAGCGAGCAGCCTGGCTGGCTGGCTGGCTGCTTCTTGTGGAGTGGAGAGAGTGTGGAGTGTGGAGTGTGGAGCATGGAGTGCGGCATCATTTAACACCGCATGTTGCAGGTGCAAAGCGACTGCACTTGCTCTAACTGTTGCTACTTGGCTGCGTTGCTAGCTACTGCTGCTGCTGCTGCTGCTGCTGCTGCCGTCTACTGCCTGCTGCCGTTTAGTTAACCGTTAATGGCATTTGAAACTGTTTTTATTGTGCGGCTGCTGCACAAAAATGTTGCATAATTATAAGCGCGCTGCTGCTAGTAAACTTTGTCTAGAGAGCGAATGGGCGAGTGGGGGTGGGAATGAATGGAAGCTGGGCAGCTGCAACTTTGCCAAGAGTCGTTAACATGCCAAAGCGCAAATTGTGAACGCGTTTAATAAGCCCCGCCAAAGGCAGCCGCAACTAAGCCTCAAATCAATGTGGCAAACTTTTTGCATTGAGCACAAAACTTTAATTGCGCGCCAAAGTAGGCAATATACAAACTGCCACGCCCACACAGCCCTGCACCCGTCCATTAGCATGGCGGGGGCATGCATTAAAATTCTTGTATAGACGACGAATATTTTTTGGCCAAAGATTTGCTATTTTGTATTTGGGCGGCTCGGCCGAAAAACTTGCGCAATCAAAAGTTGAGCCAACAGATTTGATGCTTATCAAATTGAAAAGTTTCCCCCGATATATATACACACACATATAAAATATATATATAAATATATTCTTGCATAAAATTACAATTGGAAATATGCAAAGAATGTTACGACTAGCTCTCTATATAATGGAAATGGAAATGAAAATGGCAATGGGTATGAAGTTAATATTATTACTGTTTTTAGTTTTATGGCTAATCATAAAAATTATCACGCCCACCATGTCCCATAAAAGCAAGTCACGAGACACGAGGCACGCAACCAAAGAAACGGCGGACACGAAACGCGGAACAGCTGGCAAATGGAACAACAGTTGAGCCTGCCATACGCGGGCGATATCCAAAATTGTTTGTTTGCCTCTTGTCGTTAAATTTGTGGAGCATGAGGAGCATGAGTGAGGGAATTTCGTTAACTTTAAGCTAAGGGTGGGAGGAGTGGTAGGAAAAGCGAGGAGTGAGTCGACTTGGAATGTGGAAGAGGAAGAGTAAATGAGTTATGGAGCATATGATAGATGAGCACTCATATGAGAGCTATTCGTGGAGGTGCCAGCAATAGGCCTCAGATATTGCAGAGAAATTGCTGGAAAATGTTGCATATTTCTGGATCCTGAAGTAGTAATAAACATTTTAAGTCTATAAATAATTATTTTTATAATAAAAACTAAACTTCCACTATTTAATTTAATAAAAAAAAAAAGTGATAATAATATAAAAATATTAATTAAAATATTTATTATACTTTGAATAAAAAAAATGTTTCTATTTCATATTCATATGCTGTTGACTATATACTTTGATATTGGTAATATATAGACATATTTGGTAAACATTTTATAAGCTCAAAATTTATTATTAGAAAGGGTATTAGAAAGATATTAAACATTTTATATTTGTAAAAATTATGATTTATTTTTACCTACTTTAAGCAAATGAATATTTTACAAAAATTGAGCTCTAATTTAAACTTTTAAAAATCCATTTGCCTTGTTCCACTTTTTATTTGATAAAAAAAAAAAAACAAGAGGCGAAAGCGCTTTGCAGCACAACCCGCAATTATTCGGTTTGAAAATTCCAAAAACTTTGTTGTTTATTTTGTTGAATTTTTGTATTTTGTTGTTGTTGCTGTTGTTGTTTTTTGTTTTGCTGTGTGTTCAAGCAAGCGTGCGTTTAATATTTATGAGTGATTTATCACGATATAAAAATAATAATAAATGCGAGGCAACAAAGGCTCCACTCGCACGCACCCAAAGTCCGTCCAGAAGCTCCCAAGTCCCGAAAGCGAAAGGCAAATGGCAAAAGGCATAAGGCAGGCACGATTCGGGCACTGTTTTGGCCGTAATAAGGCGCGGGCTCATTGCTGTCGCCGCTGCTCCTGCTGCTTCTGGTGCTTGTCAACGCCTTTGTTCTGTCGCGTAACAAGCACCGCAAGGACATAATGCGACCACGCCCCCAACCAACAATTGAGCTGCTTCAGCTGCTGCTGCCTTTTGCCTCTGTTTCGCGTAGCTCGTAAAAAGAATTTGTCAGTCAACTTTGTGAAGAACTACAAAAAGCAACGCAGTTAAGAAGTTGAAGTGAGCGGTGGGCGGAGGGAGGGGCGTCTGAAAGTGCGCGACATAGATTTGTATATTTATGATGGGCTTACGGCGTAGTTTTTAAGTGGCGTATACACAATATGCCTGCCATTAATTACGCCCTGTTGATTTGAGCACAGTTCGTAAATTGATTTTATTTGATTTGACTTTTGCTTGTGCGTTTGCCTTTCCCTTACTCTCACTTTTGCTGTAATTTTTATGCGTTAATCAATATCAAGTTGGAGATATAGATGTGGATAAACTTTCCACTTTTAAAGAGGGTTGAGCAGGAGCAGGAGGAGGACGAGACGTTGCCTGCTCCATTTGAAATGTGAAGCGATTAAGTGTAATTGATAACTGGTTTTAATTCTTATATAAAAAATAATTCTAATACACATAGATCGTCTCAGCTTGTCCTTCAGATCAAGATATACTCTATATACATACTCTTTATCGGTTATGATGAGATGAGACTTATGTGTGGGATTCAAGTCAGCATAAAAATTTTTTATAATGAATACAAAAATTTGGATTATGTCCGATTTCGTATATCTTTACCTTGATCCTACAGCTGCTCTGCATAGCCAATGCAAGGTATCTCCTAGTCGAGCACTGCCAACAGCGAACACGTGCTGAATTGGGTTTTCTGTTTTTTTTTTTTTTTTTTTTTTTTTTTATAAAGGCGCCAAAAATCTATCTGTCGATAGAATTATGGATTTGCCGAGCTGATTTATGCGACACTTGTTCGATTTCAGTTGGGTTCGCTGTCGACAATTCAATAACTTTGTTCGCTTCTTTCTTTTGTGCTTGCAGGGGTCAACATGGGCTACATGGAGAATAATTATTCGAATTCGAACAATGGCGGCAGCGTCAACTCGCAGGACTCGCTGTGGCAGGTGAAAATGTCGGCGGCCGCCGTTAGCAATCAGCAGACTTTGGTGCAGGCGCCACTCAATCAGTATGTGGAACAGCAGCCCACCTACGGCTATGATCCGTTGACGCATGGCGGCTATGGGGCTGTCGACGATTATGCACCATATCCACATTTGACGGCCACGCCCAGCCAGGTGGGCGATGAATATCACAATTTGCGCAATAGTCAAAATCCGTCCCGGCAGGATTACTGCAGTGATCCCTATGCATCTGTACAGAAGCCCAAGAAGCGTGTCGATCAGCATTTAGGTAAGTCGAAATGATCAATTGATTTATGTGTTATCGATAAGTTATCGAAGTGTATATGTATGATATGTGAGACTGGAAAGTGTTGGAAAGAGCTGTGAATAGATCGGATTGAATGCTCGAGGGATGAAAGCGAAACTTAACAGGACTGAAAGATTTAAAGAGATAGCGGATATATCGTCCATAAGAATTTAAATAATGGAACAAATGGAATTTTGGAACAGACTTATAAAGACAGTTTTTTCTAAGCTAGAAAGTGAAGGGGGAGAGGATGAGAGAAATAATGGATGAACAACTGAAGGACGATATTATATTATGATCCCCCCTAAAACCATTAAAAGCAATTGCTTGAAAAGCAAGGCCGACGTTACGCTTGAGAAAAATCATGCTGGAAACTATGAATGGAATGGCGAATAAAGCAGTAAATGAATGAGTAAAGAAACAGCATATGAATGAAGGAATACAGAACTTCTTGAATAAGGGAAATCATGATGTCAAGTCAATAAATGAAGGGAACTGTTGAATGAGTACGTAAAGAAATAAGTAGAAAAGAGTATAAAAGAAGAGGGGTGGGAAATTGGCAGAAGGCGGAGTATTTCGTGAGAAAGAATGAATCATTGAATGAATGTTATGGTTAATTGAGAAGCAGACGACAGAAAACAAATTTTAGTTAGACGGCAATTGAATGGAATGAAATGGACATTAAGAGTGAACAGAGAAGATATTTCAACCTGTTTGTCATGTAGAATTATTTGCAAAAAAGTTAGGGCCAAAGAAGGTCTTAACCATATTTATTTCAGATAAATATTGAAATATTCCAAGTTTAATAAAGGACTCACTGAGCACATATTTATCGAACTACTTACATACCAAATCCAGTTGCCTAAAATAGAAAACACATGTGTATTATATAATAAGCGAGGGATATTTGCAACTTAAATGCCAAAGAGCTGGAGTTGGAGTGAGAGGGAGAGGTATAGAGGGAGCGAGAGGTAGGATTGGGAAAATGAAAAGGGAAAGCGCAAATAAATCTGACAACTTTCATCGCTCGCAGTTCTTTTCTACTTATGACACATTAAGCACGAGGGTCGGACGCTCGAGTCGTCGTCTTCCAGCTCCCTGGCAAAGCGTATTGCAAAGTTACCAGAAAAACTGGCAAAGTTTTTACCAGACGTTGTCGGTGAAAGGGGTTCAGCTAAAGGGTCGCCTACACATCTTGGCCTGCGCCTGTCAGAGCTGGCCAACTGTTGTGTGTATGTGTTGGTGCGTGTGTGTGTGTGTGTGTGTGTGTATTTTCGCTCGGACTTTCGGTTATGACAAGTTAAGCACTTTGGATATCAACGATGTCGACCCGACTCGCCCGACAGCCAAGCTCATGCTAATTATGTATGTGTAGAGCAAGCTATCTCTATCTCTCTCTCCTACTTTCTCCCTCTGTCTGCCCTCTGCCCCCCTCGGTCTGCAGCCTTGAAGCATGACACAATGTTAGGCTTTGGCTCTGGGTTCCAACTTGGCTTTTTTTTTTCCCTCTTGTTTTTCAGTCTGCTGCACAACTGACGCTCTTGGCTTAAAGTCTTTGAGCCAACTTTTTGCTTAAAGTTCAGCAAGCAAAACAACAATAAATATTTATATTTTTTGACGAGCCATTGGTTGGGCTGGGCCTTTGTCCTGTGCAAGTGTTTTAAAATATTTGGTAATACTAAAAGAGAAATAGGGCATCGAAAATCAAAAACAAAATGTGCCCAGCACAGAGATATGCTGTAAAATTAATTGATATTGAAATTGTCTTGCTGAAGTTCTGTTGGAGCACTGTCTCAGCCAACATGTTTTGAAGAAGATAAGAAAAGAAAGATTAATTATCTAGCAAATACAAATTCAAATTTCAAATGATTTTCTAGATATTTAATGTTAATGTTTAGTAATAAATTGAATTGTGCTCGATCGCACTACTATTTTCATGAACACAGAGATTTGTTTGATTGACATTAAATGTTAGCATATAACATTATTAAGAGGAACTGTTAAGTAGCATTATGTTATGAGAGACAACAGAATATCAATTTTAACGATTAGACTCTATATGAAATAAATGCAGAAGAAGAGAAATTTATTCAAAAATTTTCCTCTCTACTATTTTCAGCTAGATCAGAGATTTCTATGATTAGCAGTAAATGTTAATATAACTTAAGTTTGAGAGACTGTTAAACAACATTATGTTATGACAATGTGCTAATGACAAGGGCATTTAGTAATTTTATAGAATTGTGAGTCATGGAAGTAGCAATGTTTGAGTTCGAGAGAGTCGCGAAGATGATCCATGGGTAGAGAAGCTGTGAGAGAGGGAGAGGTGGCAATTGCCTGCCCAAAGAAAAGGAGAGCCACAATATAAAATTGAAAATGAGAGTGCTCTAAGCATAATTAAGCAAATTCAAGCTGAAATAGATCCCGCGGCTTCAACTGAGCCTGTATCACAATCGGCGCAAGCTCTGACATGCACTTAATACTCGGAGTGCTGATGATGGATCGTTGTCGAGTGCTGTGCGCTTTCGGTCTACCCCTTTTTGTGGGGCACTTAAGTGCAGGGCATCGCAAAACAAGGGCCAACGGGCCGTATGCGTGATGATATTGCTCTGGCTATGCGTGTGTGTGTGTGTGCGTGTGTGGGTGTGTGTAAGCCGCATGTGTGCTGTATTTGTGTTATCTTTACGGTTTATGAGCGAGCACAGCCGAAAGAATATATATGTATAAACAAAAACAAAAAAAAATGGCATTTTTTCGACATGTTGCGGGTTTTTATTGCCCGACTGCGGCAGGACGAAAAACAGGACTCACAAACAGGATGTGGCAGACGCGCTATGCTTATTGCTATTGTTGCTATTGTTGTTGTTGTTGTTGTTGTTGCCTTGGTGTCCATGCTTAAAATTTTGTTATTTGTAATGCGTGTCTGGCCCGCTCCATGTCTGTCTGTGTGCGTGTGTGTGTGTGCGTTCGTGCGTATGTATAAAATGCAAAAGCAAAACACAAATACAACAATTTTGTGGCTGCTGTTGCATAACAAAACACTGACCACGCCCACTCGCTACACTCTCAGCGGCTAAACGCAAAAAAAAATTCAAAATTTTTATTTTGTTTTTGTTGTGCGCCGAAACTAAGAAATGCGCAACAACAATAACAATAACAACAGTTGGCAAATGTCAAACTGCCATATAAGCAGCGTCCCAGTTGTTCACACACACACACACAGGCACACTCACACACACACATATTTGGAGAGAGGGAGAACCACATGCATGTCAATAAAATGCAGCAGGAAACGCCCCACGAGTGCCGTCAAAAGCAACTAAAAGCTGTATGTGTGTGTGTGTGTGTGTGTGTGTATGTATGTGCATGTGCGTGTGTGTGCAGTAAGTCAGGAAGTTAGTAAAAGTAGGTGGTATCGAAGAGAGGCGTTGGGGCGTGGAGCGTGGAGCACATTGACAGTGCTACAATATGCAAATACATCTTCATTACATTGATGTGTCAGCTTATGCACAGCTGCGTATATGTGTGTGCATGTGCGTGTGTGTGTGCGTATGTGTGTGTATGGCAACATGTTTAAAAGCTTTTACACTTGCCAAGTGAAGCTGCAAAGCTGCAGCACAGCTGAACTGACTTTTGTGCCAGAGCAAAAGCAGCTGCTGCATTAAGAGCTGCAGCGAGCACAGGGTGCGGGGTAAATGGATGGAGGGGCACAGAGGCGGGGCACAGAACGAGGCGAGAGCAAATCTGCGGCAGCAAAAGACGACGTAAAAAAAAAAAAAAAAAAAATTGAAATGTTTTTTTCTTCTATTTTGTGGGTAAGATAAACTGAAGAGTCCAGCGGGGGACGGGAAAAGGCGGCAGTGCGGCTGTGGGGGTGGAGGTGGTTAACTGATTGATTATGCAGACTTTTGTGTCAGTTGCTGGCGAATTTTCGCACATGAAGCTTAATTCATCATTAAATCAGTGAGAGCGAAAAAAAATGAGGGAAACGGGGAGGCAAGCGAAAGGGAGACGAAATAAATTGACGAATGTGGGACGATGAAAGATGATGGCAGCACATACATATATACATATATATATTCTTTTTGGTATGAAAATGATGGGAGGAAACTTGAGCTTAACAGTTTTTGTGCAATATTTATGGGAGATTATTAAAGTTGACTACCAAAAAAAAAAAAAATTATTGAAACAACCATTAGCTTGAAAATTAAAAAAAAGACAAAAAAAAAAAAAGAATAGATGGGATAGTTCAACTTTCATAGTAAAATTCTTGATCAGAACAATTTCCATATGCTCCAAAAGTGTGGGCTTTAAGCAATCACTTAAACAATTTATCAACTGCAACAGGAAAGAGATTTGAAAATTGAGACGCATAAAGGCAGCACACTTGCTCTTGTCTCTCTTTCAGTTTATAAAAGCACATGCAGAGTTTATATTACAGAGCATACAGAGAGAGTAACAGTAGTAGTAGAAGAAGAAGTTAAAACATTCTCTAAAAGCTGGTAAAACAAAAGAATTTCAGTCTGTGAGTGTGTGTAAACAGTGTGTGTGCATAGATTGAGCAACAACATTTTTTTTTTTTCATCAAGTAGATATGCATTTAAGCTGTGAAATAACATTTTTGCTTGAGATCGAACGTTGGCATGATTTTTATGAAAAATCTGAGTAGTGAGAGGCTGAGAGCGAGAAAAATTTGGAATATCTTAAGTCGAAGTTAACGGAGAACTAAAAGATGTGACACAGTAGAGTTAAAGAGAACTATGAGCTGGGAAGCTACTTTGCTTTATTTAGAAATCAATTTTGATATGTGATATACCTATAGAATAGATTTGACCTATACAGAGAGTAATATTGCTACACGTGTAGTCAATCATAAATGTCAATCGATCAACTAAGACTCCCATTTCTACTCTATAAAAAGTAGTTTCAAATCTCCTCAACTCCTCAACTGTACAGTAGCTTGTCGATAAAGAGTCTCTTACCTACTCAAGCTTCCATGCCACATTTCAAGAGTCACGATATATTGCCCACTCTAAGCATAAACGAGTCATTGAAATTGTTTTCGAGTCAAGTTAAGGCCCTCTAATCATGCTAATCGTATGGCCAATAACTCTTGACTTTATGTGCCCAAAGACGGTGCAGGAGGCCCTTGGATAGTGGCCGTAAAATAGTGCATTTGGCTTTTAGGCCAGAGCCAATAAATGTTGCCAACGACGAGTGACGCACAACTTATTCAAAGCGCCATAAAATCACGTTGCTGCGGGGAGAGAGTCTAGAGTGGGGAGTGAGGAGTGGGGAGTGGGGGGAGCCCTTGGTTAAGCTCGCATAAATCATGAGTTGGCGAAAGACCCGGAGCCGAGACTGTGAGCCAAGGGTACTAAACACACACTAAGTGGATTTGAGAGTGAAAAAAAAAAGATATGAAATGAAAAGGAGTCGAAGAGGCAACAATGATAAGCGACTCGCCTAGACTCTGCTTTGCTCTGTGTATGTGTGTGTGTGTGTGTGTGTGCTTGTGTTTGTGTTTGTGTTTGTCTTGTGGCTAAACTCTGCTGCAATTTGTTTACTTTCGACATTTTTTGAAAAATCTACTCATACGAATGGCAGGAAAAAACGGGTTATTACGAGCTTAGAGTCCAGTAACAGAGAGACGGACGCACGGACAGACAGACAGACAGACAGACGGACACCAGGGCCCAGGGCCCAGGGCGGGCAGCAAAATTTGCATGAAGAAGTCAAATATAAGCGAATGCAGAATAAAACAGTTGCTAACTGAGTGCCAATTGGAGTTTTACAGCCGTGCTAAGAGATACCCTATAAACTATTTTCATATAAGTACTATATAACCAGGAAACTCTTTTAGTGAAATGTATATAAATATATTTAATACTAAATGAAGAGGTAGATTTACTTGCAGTCAATCAAAGTATTGATGCGAAGATATAGTAATAGTAAATACTAAAAAAATACTATACCATAAATAGATTGTTGATGAAAGGGCTGAGTATTAAATACAAAATAAACACTTGAAAAAAATAATTTAAAAATTTTATAATAAATATATATATTCGACAGGAAATTTTACTATAAGCCAACCAAAATGTTACAAACTGATTGATAAGCATACCCCATATACCCCATTGCAAGTGCTGTGCAGGGCATAACAAGATAGACAAACTGTCCAGCAGTGCGTATACTTAACGCAAAAACGATTAAGTTGTTTCAACTCGATTCGATTTCAGAATTCCAAATTGAAAAACAGCAAAAAAGGGAGAAAATGTAGTCGGAAAAGCCCAGCATCACTATATCTGGTATGCGTGTGTGAGTAGGCGTGGCATGCATAAAGTTATGCGCATAATACGCACAGCTCACGTATTGGCCATAAAATACGATGGCAGAAAGCGCCGGCAACAAAAAAAAAAAAAAAAAAAAAAAACTGAGGGGAAATCCTAAAGAGTTGAAAAATCTAAAGAAAATTCTTAGAGAAAAAAGCAAAAGCAAATGGGAAATGTAAAATGAAATGAAAAACATCGAAACGAAAAGCGGATTCACTTTTTCCTCTCTTTCTTTGGGCTGACTTTTTGGCCTGCTTTCGCTTGCAGCCTTTTAGCTTCTCTTCTGGCCATTTGAGCTGCTGCTTCTGCTGCTGCTGCTGCTGGTTTTTTGGGTCAAGTTTATGCAGATGCCGACAAGCGCGCTTAGAAATTTTCGCACGCCCCGCGCAGGGGGCGGGGTAGCGGCTGGCACTGTTTGGGCATGTTAAAGAGCAGTTGTTAAAAAGGATTTACCGTTTTATATTTGTATGGGCGGCATGAGAGTCTCTGTGTATATGTGTGTGTCAGTTTGGCAAGCCGAAAAACGCCAACACACATTGGTATGTGGCCAAAAGAGAGGGATAGAGAGAGAGAGAGAGAGAGAGAGAGAGAGAGAGAGAGGAAGAGAGGGTGGCGACACATTTCAATGCGGCGATTTCGTTTTTGAAATTCAAATTCCAATAAATTTTCCAGCGATTTGCCAAAGAGAAAGAGATAGGCATAGAGAGAGGGTGATCGGGTGAGGGCGGGGGGGGGGGGGGGATAGAAAACCTTTTTGGCTCGCATTTACAATCTGATTTAAACATTTGAAACAGCGCCACTGCGTCCTGCTTAAATATGCAACAATTTGTAGACAAAGATGTCGTTGTCTCTGTGACTCTTGTGATTCGAAATTAATGCGCTGTTTACACACGCACACACACACACACACTTGTGCAATCCCCGAGGAGCGAGAGCTGAACCGTGTTCCGGTTTACGGTCAATAGCCTGCGGCATATGTATATTTGCAGCTGCACTTTAGGCCTCTGCCGCTGCTCTGACCCTGAGGATTGAAAATGTAATTTTGAGCTGTGGTTGAGCCACGCTGCGCCAACGCCCCCGCCCCGCCCCTATGTTGACATTCAATTCCAATTTGCAGCTCAAAGAACAACAACAACAACGGCATTGGATTGTAATTAATTTTATAACAAGCGCTGCTCGCTAACAGCCACCAGACGGACGGACGGACAGACGGACAGGCTCATCTGGCAAATAAAAAGAATTGTCCCAGGCTAGTCAGCGCCGCAGGCAAGAAGCCACAGGCAACATGCTACATGCAACATGCAACATGCAACGCAGCAACTGCCAAAGGCAATCAGCTGACAATTTTAAGCTGCTTTTAAAAAAGTGCCACAAAAATAAAATCGAACGCCAAAGGGAGGCGCAAACAAAAGGCAGCTTATGCAAAGCCTCGCGGTAGCCACACGAAAATATCTTGTTGTCAGTTCAGCAGCGGCAGCAGCAGCAGCAGCAGCAGGATGAGCCGGTTAGCCGCAGCGCCATTTTCGAGAACATTTTATTCAATTAAAGTTCAGAGTAAATATCTGTATGGAACATAAAATATAAAACATAAAATATAAAATATAAAATAACAAAATAACAAAATATAAAATATAAAATATAAAATATAAAATAAAAATATATAAAATAAAAAAATATAAAATATAAAATATAAAATAAAAAAATATAAAATAAAAAAAATATAAAATATGAAATATGAAATATGAACTGTGAAATATAAAATGTAAAACATAAAATATAAACTATAAAATATAGAATCGATTGTTTCCGCAAATAGCTCAGTCTGCCTCCCTCTTCAGCTCTTGCAACATTTGATCTATTCACATAAAGCTTTTCATTCCGACTGACTTCAGCAAATGAATAAGAAGTGAATGAATGACTGAATGGCTAAATGACTAACAGCATTCAATTACTCTTTGATTGATTAATGAATGGAACTCCTAATGACAGTTCACTTGAAATAATTCCCTTCAGATAATTCCATGAAATGGTATTTGGATTCCATTCCATTCGATTGTCTTTAAATTGTAATTCATGATTGATTAAGGCACGAGTCGCTTACTACTCACACAATCCATACAGGCCCAGCAGTGCTCAAGTATGGCTATTGTTTTTAGCCAAGTGCCAAGTATTGCTGCCCTTTGACATCTTTGGCCAGTTGGCGTAATTTTCATTGAAATATTAAGTATACGCCACGTGTTGCCGTTCCTCTAATTGTAATGCGAGCTATTTTTGTCGCTAAACAGCTCCAGAAGGAAACAAACTTTGAAGTATTCCTGTTAAGTGCAGGTCTCAGCTTCTGTGAATCTCTTTGAATATTAAGTATACGCATTGTTCTAATCAATTAAAATGTGGATATTAAGTATACGGCATGTGCATTCATACCACCAATCGGAATTCGAGCTAATTTCGAACGAACTCGGAGTTCTGCGTAATTCTAAAGCTGACTTTTTGGAAGTGCCTTCTTGATATTAAGCATACGCCCCGTTTTTAATTAACTGCAAATAAAGTCTGTTTGAATTGAGTGAGTGAGTGCGTGTGAGTGTGTGTGTGTGCTTGAGCTCATTCTAGGCTAACAACTCACACTTGTAGTCAATAAGTGAACACATGAAAAGACCCTCTCACTCACACATCAGAGACATTCTCACACACACACACACACATACACACGCACCCACAGCCAACTGCCTATTTAGACATAAGTTAAGCTATGCTAATGAAACGAATTTCGCTAACCATTTTCGGCTTTCTCTCTTCTCACACACATGTCTTTGCCTCTCTCATATTATAAACGAAATATTAAACATTAAAAAACGCACAGCGGACATCATTCAGGATGTTACGCTCTAACGGAGCGCGCAGGCTGAAGTAAGTTTTAATGCCAAGGACACGAGCGAGCTGGCAGCGAATCCTTGCTCAATGATGCCCATGATGATGTTCCGTTTTATTTTCTCTGCTTTCTACTTTCTCCTTTCGTTTTCATTTTCATTTTCTTCTCTTTCTTTTTTTGCCTGCTAACACGCCCACACAGCCGCCCACAGTTCCACACAGTTCATCGTGTGTTTGTTTACAGTTTTTGATTAGCATTTGCTGCTTTCTCTGCCCTTTACGCTCCTCCTCCCTCCCTCGTTTTTTTCTTATAATTTTGTATTTGATTTTGGTTTCCAGTTGGTTTTTAATTGTTTGCGCATGAGTCTTAAGTTTGCGTCGAGTTTGAAGTTTGTGAAACTAATTTAAAACCAATTTTGATTACAGATTCACCATATCACGACGTAAGCGGCCTGCCCAACCCCTACAACATGGAGCACATGGTGGAACAGGACGAGGTGCTGCCACCGCAACAGCATATGTCCCTCAGCTACGATGACAGCTTCGAGGGTGAATATTCGACAACGCCAAATGCCCGAAATCGCCGTGTCATACGCGAAATTATTGTCTAAGCTTAACTCGAAATACACAAGGCAGCAACAACAACAGCAACAGCTACAATAACAACAACAACAAGGCACTCTTATCTAACTCTATTAACACATGAACTGCACACACTCACACACACACACACACTCATACACACACATACACACCATCTCCCCATCAGCATTGCAACGAAATCTCAATATTTAATTTACTCAATTTTTGAGCAGTGGCCATTTTTTACTTGGATTATTATTTGTTATGGATATATCGATAAATGCTAGTTAACGTGTGTTGAGTTTTATTGGCAACGAATTGATATATATATATAGATATATATGTATGCTACGATAATTAAGGCATCGAGTTCTCATTCACTAGTTAAGGCAACATACACACACACACAGTCTCCCACAACCACACACACACACACACACACACATCTGCACTAAATGTTAAATACGAACTACTTATATAGATAGAGAGAGACAGAGTGAGGCAGTGGGAGTGGGAGAGCGGCAGAGCGAATGGGGAGCGCAGTTAAGTACAGTAATACCTATGCTATGAGGTCCCAGTCGCATACGCAAGATATCGTACGAAATTTAATTGTAAGCCATCAAATGTTGAAATGAGCAAATTTCAAAATAAGAAAAACGAAAAGAAATTTACAAAAAAAAATATAGAAAATAATAATAATAAAAATAAAAGAAGGAATTATATATCTCACGCATGTTTTCACGTAAGGCAGCTGCAACAACCGTTCACCATAGTCGTGTAAGCATTAAACGTATAAGAGTATATTTGTGGCCGCGTATAAGAGTTGCTCGCTTCGAGTCTCGCGGCGCATAAGAAATGGGAAATTTTTATGGCCAGCTGCGACTCACGGCAGGACTCGCGCGCATTTCCAACACATGTTTTTTAGTTAAAAATAATATAAAATAAATAAATATTACGTATTAAAAGTAAAAAGTGAAAAGGGAAAAAAAACAGAAAATAACAGTACGACCTGCCACAAAACAACTTAAACCTAAATTAATTTACTTTACAAATTAATTTTAACATATTAAACTGATAAAAAAAAAAGAAGGTATAAAAGAGTAAAATAAAATATTGCTTTAAGTAAATTATGAAACATAAAATAAAAACGAAAATAAAACTTTACAAAAATTATTAAAAATAATTCAAAAATTAAAAATTACAAAAACAACAACTCTGTGCAGCTTGACAACTTTAAATTAATTTTAAAAATTAACAAAAACAAAAAAGAAAAACTTTAATTGATTTAATTTCTATGAGCTTTCCGTTAAAATTCAAAATTTTTAAAAAGTTGTATTTATCAGTTACAAAATGTTATTAACATATTTTTTAATTATAGAAAATATATTTTTATATGTATATTAAATTAAGTATATTTACATTCTTTTATGTAACTCTTTTTTTTTTTTTTTTCGAACTTTGTTTCGTTGTTTGTTTGTTTTTTCTTGCAACTATTTGACGCTAGCACACGAAATGCAAAAAAGAATGAAAATGAAAGTGAAGAAGAAAACGATAAAGTTAAAGAGAGGCGCGATTGACAGAGAGTTTTTTGTAGCTAAGAATTAATTGTAAATACATGTGTAATTTGTATATATTTACTTGATATACAAAGTAAATAAGCAGCGTGCAGCAACAACAACTTAAATATATAAATTGTAGTTAATTTTAAACAATTTCAAAAACATGAATTTAACTAGTAAGCTAATTAAGTAAGCGAAACATGTTTAAAGCAAATGCCACAACAAAAACTACAAATAAATAAAAATCTACAAAAAAAAAAAAAAAAACACGCATCACAAGTGAAAACCCATCTCTCGACAAGAATCTTGAATTATATATATATGACATATATATATATATAAATATACAATTAAATCTACTTATTATTTGTAAATAAGTGAAACATAAATATATATATTTTAATTTCAAAAACAAGAAACAAAAATCGATTAAAAATATATTTCCAAAAAAAAAAAAAAAGTTTAAATTCTTTTTATTTTTACAAACAAATTCAACTTAAAATATATTTATTTATATATTTTGTAGACGAATCAACTCATGCAATTCATTTCAAATCACTGATCTTATGAATATAAGATAAGGTAAGTTCGGGTAATGTATTATAATCTTTCCTATTTGTAGTATATCAAAATATTTGAGAACAAGATCAAATTCGTTATAAAACTTACAGAAAGGTAAAATAGATTAGCTTTTGACTATCTATTTGAATTTATAAAAGAAAAAAATTGGAATGGAGTTTGAATAGTTTTGTCGGCTTCCAAAATTAGTTCTAGCTCTAGTTTTACGTTTAACTAAAGAATTACCAAGAGCTTGCTTGATTTCTTTGGGACCATAACGGCTTTAATAAACCCGGGTGACAGCAGCAGCAGTATCAGCCGCAGGAGTAGCAGGAGTAGCACCGACAGCAACAGCAGCAGCATTTGCTTTTGCTGCATAATGTGCCAAGGCTCATTTGATTGGCATAAAATTTATAGCATGCAATTTGACTTGAAAGCTGGCAGCACCCAGTGGCGGCAAGTATGGCAACGCTGGCTGGCGCCCGGAAGTAACACGACACTTGACATTTTAATTTAATGCCCAGCGCAGACGTCGCTGACAACGCAACAGCAACAGCAACAGCAGCAGCAACAACAACAACAGCGACAGCAACAACAACAAGCTGACAGGCCAAACTGGGAGCAGTATCTTTGTCTTCGGCTCACGTGTACGCAAAATCGATAACTATTATGGGCATACCAGGTGTATTGCGACATATCCGAGCATATTAATTACAGATGCACAGCAATTTGCTCATGAGCAATGCAAAATGTACGAAATTCATTAAAGCATTTGCGACTACTTGAGCATTTGCCTTGTCGCAGCAATGCCAGCAAATATTATCCCAACTGGAATCTCATAAGCAAATAACGCCACAATTCAGTAAGGCAAACACTGGAGGATACCAAGGAGAATATGTCAATCAGGCAGCGTTCAACTTATTCATCTGACAGTAAACTAACAATTTATTTATTTATTTACTGTCACTCAGTCAGCAGCAATTGATATTTTGGGCTGACAAAGCTAAACATGAAATTCCATTTATTAACAAAATCACAACTAATGATTTATTTTTTTGTTATTTGATATCAGAAAATTTCAACAATTGCCCTTGTAAGAGTTTATCCATCAAATTTTAGTGAGCCAACTGCTATTGACCCAATTCTAGGCATGTCTAATGGATCGACAGCAGCTTCTGTTGCTTTTGCTTTTGAGTGCTTAAAGAGGTTTTTTGCAATAAAATCTAAAAAAAAAAAAAAAAAGACTTATAGTGTTGTTAAATTATATCGACCAAAAAATAAAATAAGATTTGTTGAACAAGTAAAGTTCAACAATCGGTTGCTTGAAGTAAAATAATAATGTCATGTATAAAAAATTTAATTGTGAATCTAATTTTTGCACAACTAACAAAGTTTGAATGCCAAACTAACTAAACTAATTAAAGTTGACGTAAAAACTCTTTCAAGGTATTTGCATAAAGTTGGCCGATAACTTTGGCAAGTTAACGGCCTGCAATTCCTCATAACTGTGGCAAATATTTCAAATATTAATTCTGTTTCATATTTATTGGAATTATGTTCAAATATATATTTTTTCATATATGAAAAAAAAAAAGTTTTAAATAAATATATTTCTATAGAAACAAATAATGCATGCAAAAATAAATTTTACATTTAATTTCACGCCCACATAATAAATATTTGCATAGAATTACAAAAGTAAATCAGCAAAATATATAATAATCATATAAAATATGTGTATTTTCAACTTAGTTTCGTTAATTTTAGCTTTAAATATATTATTGAAAATTACTCAACTGCAGCCGTAAAATTCGAAATTTTTAATCAACGCAGCCGCAAAAATTTAAGCCACGAAAAAAGAGACTAAAAATGAGTTGCCAAATATTTTGGTAAATAAAATACGTGCTGGTCCGAGCATATGTCAGGGATCTAGGCCACTGGCTGCATTATACACACACGCACACCCATATGTCTTTGCATGTGTATGGATCTAGCTGTGCGTTGTTGTAAAGCAGGTGAACTGCTGACCCAACGACCTGGCAACCCATTCATTCAAATGCCAGCTAGAGACAGAGAGAGAGAGAGAGAGAGAGAGTGAAAACAAAAGCCTACATATGCAATTCATTTACTGCCATTCAGAAGACGAACTGGCACGCCCACACACCAACACACACGCACACACACAGCTGTGCAGACAGGTGTATGTCAATTAAAGCGCTGCCTGTGCCGCCTAATTGGATTTATGCCACATTTATGTGTAGGTGCAAATTCGTGGAATTGCGAGGCATCGCTTGGTTTATGCTACAAAAATCACAAGCATAATGAGCGTGGCGGAGGCGTGGCAAGCGAGGCCATTAGTCGTGCCACAAAACTCGACTCGAAACGTGGACGAAAAACAATTGCAACTTGTTGTTGTTGCTGCTGCTGCTGCTGCTGCTTCTACTGCTGCTACGAGTACTAACAACTTTGGAGGACTTAAAATGAAATTACGCGAAAACTTTCGGACGCAGCGGCAATGGCAACTTTTTGAAGAGATCAGCCAGCAGAGAGGCTGGCAGGCAGGCAGGCAGGCAGGGAGGAGCTGTGGCTCTTGGCCACTTCTATTGCGGCTTTTGTGGCTCGTGGCACGCACAACTTGCGCAACTTGTGGCCACGGGTGGCCACATAATGAGTTTCATAAATTAACACAAATTAAAGATGCGAACAAGTAATTTACCTATACGAACTCTAACTGGATGCCCAACAAATAGCCAACCATTGTGTGTCTCTTTCTTTCACAAACGCACACACACACACACAAACACAGAGAGAGATACTGACTCGCATGGCCAGTGCAAGTTTTGCGGCCATTGGTTTGTAATTAATGCGACCGGCAGCTGACCGAACGAGGCTGCCCTGCCTTGCCTGCGGTTCCCTAATGTTGGTCAACCAATTGCCCTCGATGCTCCGATTCGCAGTCACAGTCACAGTCACAGTCACAGTGACTGTCGCTGTCACTGTGACCCTCACTGCTGGCAGCGTTGAGTGCTTTTTCTGTTTAATTTTATTAATTATCTGTGTAATCTTTGAAGTTGTCTGCCAGCATCTGAGTGTGAGTATGTGTGTGTGTGTGTGTGTGTGTGTGTGTGTGTGATGGTGCGTGCTTCCACATATGCGTAAGAGTTTGCAGCACGGTTTTTGCGTTTGCTCCTAATCGCATCAGGCAACACTGCCTGTCTGTCTGTCCGTCTGTCCGTCTGTCTGTCTGCACATTGACTGGCAGTCGAAAAGTTTGTAGCAAGTTTGAGGAAACAGCCGCGGGGCATTTAGTCAAAAGACTTGGAGCAAACGAATTAGACAGTGAATGGAGAGCATCAAACAGCAATAGAAAATAAATAACACGATTAGATAGTCAAGGAAAACTGTCTAAACTTTATTGAAGTTACTTATGGATGTGCAAAAGAAATGCTGAGCATAATGCCAAATAACAACAATTATATTAAAGGCAAATATAAGAATTTTCAAGAAAGTAATGAATTAACGAAAAGTTTTGATAAAAATTAAAGAAAAATTTCAATTTATCATTGAGAGAACAATTACCAATGAATCCGCAGACTGTCAGTATCCGAAGCATATATTCATTATAAATGGCATACATTCATATATAAATACATACATATGTATATGCCTTCTAATTGGATGACTCAAGACATCATTACTAGTCGCGTTCTCTTCAGCCATCTGCCATCAACGCGAGCCTGTGTCTATATAGCCATCTCGCTTTCACTCAACGGCAGCATGATCTACATACGTTCAGGAACAGCTGTATTTGTCTTTCCTTATCTCTCTCTCTCTCTCTCTAATGCTTCATCTCTCGGATAACATTTTT